AAACTGTGTGTCTGTGTGCAGGTGACAGCTGTCTGAGCGACATGTCCTACAGCTACGACCCCGAGTTCAGCTGCTGCAGCTCCTAGTGAGTCACGCTTCACCCACAACAACCGCCTCGTTTCACAGCTTTGATTCATTCAGGTTGAGTTGGAAGCTTCGACAACATCATCAACATCTTCACATTAAACAGAAACAGACGATTTCATACCAGAATGTTTTCACCTTCCTCTCTGGTTATTGGATGCGTTTCTGTTCACTGTGATGTGGTGTCTTATTGTTTCCTCTGTTTCTGTGTCAGCGACGGCTCCCAGGAGGCCTTCGAGCTCTACTACAGCGAGACGTACAGCGAGAGCTCGTCGCTGTCGCTGCAGGACTCTCGTCGCAGCTTGGCGTCGGTGAGCGACGGAGGCGACAGCAACCCGGCGCTGCTGCTGATGCAGGAGTACATGATCACAGTGAGTCTGCAAAGAGGAGCACATTAGAGTCCTGTGAGCATGTTTCTGTAGAACCAAGAGGATTAAAGTTGGATTCAACAGACTTTCTGAGAGATATTCCAGCAGATGTTCCACCAGTGGACGCCATCGCTTCATGTTGCTCTTATTTTGGTTCTTCTTGGTTTAAAGTTAAACCAGAAGTGTTTCCTCTGCAGTAGAGCAGTAGTGAGGAGCAGTCAGAACTTCTCCAGGATGGTCCATGACTGTGTGAGGCTGTCTGGTTAGTGACTGAAGGGACAAGTTGTGGACTGATGTAAAGAAAAGAAAGAAAGTTCTTCAGACACGACGAAGGCCCGGAAAGCACAGCTCACTGAAGTGTTGTGATTGTCGGCAGCGTTAGCGAGCAAAGGTCTGCATGAAACCAGCGAAGAAGAAACGTGGTCGGTGCGGTTGTGTGACCTCTTTGTCTCTGTTTGTGTGTGTCTTTGTGTGTGTCTGTGTGTGTCTGTGTGTGTAGCTGCGTAACAAGCTGGGTCCGGCGGAGCTGCAGCACTTTGCGGTTCTGCTCAGAGAGTACCGGCTGGGATCCAACATCGACCACTTCTGCTCGGAGCTGCTGCAGCTGTACGGCGACGACCGCAAGTTCCTGCTGCTGGGTGAGAACAGAACGTGGAAGCAGAGCGTTCATGAACCCACTGAAACTCTGAGGCGAACCGCGACCCGGTTGTTCTGACTGGTGGCGGCGACGCTGCAGAGGAAGAACGTGACTGAGAGGCTGTGTGTGGACGAGTGAGACGAGTTTACTGCTCGAGTGGCTTCAGGTTCTGACTGAACCACGACTTCCTGCTTCTGACTGAGCTGCTGTTCAGTCACCATGATGCAGCTTTTAGAAACCACAGGAGCCTGGAACCAACACTCTCGTTTCTGATTCACAATAACATCCACAAAACTTTCAAACATCACTTTCAGTTTTCACACAATTAGTGACAATCAGCAGACAGAAGACGTGACAGGTCTACTACACTTTTACTCAGATTTGTTTGTTAATTTAGAGATATTTCATATAATTATAGAACAAATATGTTGAATTAATGTGTTTCAATCAGTATATAGGATTAATATCTATATCTGGTGGCTAATTAAATTGTTTTTACACCTAAAAATGTCCTTTAGTAGACAGAAAAGTCAAAGATACGCATGAATTTATGTAAATTTAAGTCTATAATTTAAATTTTAATTACAGAAAATTACTGTTTTTAATCACGTGGTTATTGTCCCACAGTTATTTTATTTTTTTATATTAATTTTTTATTGCAGAGGAGTTCTTCAGTAACTTTAAAGTGTTCAGTATAATATAGTAAATCATTCAAAGTGTCACCAGAAGAGTCAAAACTGACATATGTTGGATTTTATAATCTAATTTATGAGTTGCTCAGATTGTAGCAAAAACATGTTGAAACGTTGGTGGTCTTGTAATTATTTTATTTCTGTTCTTTCTCATCCGAACACAGATGTTAAATGTTCCAGGTGTTTTGTTTTTTTTGTCCTTGGTGTCTCAGGAATGCGTCCGTTCATCCCGGACAAAGACGTCGGCGCCTTCGAGGGTTTCCTGGAGAGCATCGGGATCCGAGAAGGCGGGATTCTGACCGACAGCTTCGGACGAATCAAGCGCAGCATGAGCAGCACGTCGGCCACGGCCATGAGAGGGTACGTAGGCGCCGGGCCGGGTTCTGTGAGGTTCTGTTGGTCTTAGGGTCCAAAGTTAACAGATGCTGCACCAGTGGAGGAAAACATAAAATAATAATAATGTGCTTTTTAAAGCGTGTGAACATATTCTAGTAAAATAATAGTGAAATATTGATCCAGAATAAAATGATAAACCTGTAAATGAGCATAGAACGGACTGTTTAGGAATGACTTTATATCATTATTTTGCAGTATTTTACTGTTAATGAGTGATTTATATTAAATATCTTCTGTTTTATTGAAATGAAATGAGTCAATGATCTCTTAATGCATTTATTTATTATGCATAAACAGAAGTGCATAAATAGAGAGGAGGAAATATTACTAGGTCCTCACAACCAACTAATAAATATGAAATTAAACGTATAATATCAATAAATCTAGAATAAATAAACATAAATAACCAAGTACAATACAGGGAAACGGTTAAATTTAATAAAATACCAAATAAATCTACGTTTTTAAGACTTTTTAAATCTCTTCTTTTGTGTTTTATTTGTTGGAATTTGTTGTGAAAAAATGATCTTGTGAAAAAACGACTCTGGTTTCAGTCGAGGTAGTTCGACGACACGTTTCCGTCCTCATCATGTCCAGAAGTGACGTGTAACGAACTCTCCGTCTTCTCTCCCAGCAGCTACGACGGCTGCTCTCAGGCTTCTGGGTCTCAGGAGTTCAACCGACGGATCACCGACATCACCCACGACATCCAGGCGCTGGGCTTCCAGGACACCCACGGAGACATCGAGGAGGAGGACTACTACCTCTGACGGGCTCAGAGCGCCGGCGTCCTGCCCGAGTGCCTCTGAGCAGCGCAGCGCCAACACTCAGCTCACGGTCTCGTCATTAACACACAGAAACAACCCACACTGAATCACAGGAAACTGCAGAAAGATGAGCCGAGAACACGTCAGATTTAAGTAGAAACCTGAGACCAGAGCTCGTTTTAGTCACAAACAGTAAATCAGCATCAAATATTACAGATTTAACTTTGTCAGAATGCTTCAATGTGTTTAAAAAGTGCAAAAAAATAAAGAAAAACAGAAGGAATATTAAACGGTAGTCGACACACTGAGTTATAATTTATTAGCTTGAACAGCTGATTCTGTTCTGAACCTGCTGATGAATCTACAAATATTTTTATTTTTGTCAAACCAGCTCAGTCAATTTTAAAACTTCGACCAAAGTAATGTGTATTTTTTTTAAGAATATATATTTTTTCCTTTCTTAATTTTTTATTAGAATTAAAAAAATAACACAAATGTTTTGTTCTGTGTTGTTGAGACGTGCAGCGACGCAGCGTTCAGAAAATATTACTTGTGGACTCCTTGATGTGGACATTATGAAGAGCTTCAGCCTGTTTTTACGTTTTTTGTTTGTTCTGATTTTTGTTATCTTTAAGTTAGAAAAAAGGGGAAAAATCTCTGAAAATAAAACAAAAACACTGTATTTCTTAATCTTTAACAAACATATTTTGTCTTTTAAATAAATATAAAATATTTTGTATTTATTTTTTGCTGATTTTAATTAGTTTTTAATTTTTAAATTGTGGAATTTTTACCATCAAACAGTATAAAAGAATAAAAAAAACCTTTTGTAAAAATGTTAATTTTTCATGTGGACAATATTGAGAAATTATTTTTTATTTTTTTTTGCTGTGATTTAACTGATTAATTAAAGAAAATAGAATAGAACCATGAAGGATTTTTTTTTCTTTAAGTGCGTTTTTAAAAAACTAGATTTTTTTTTTTACATTGTTGGCAGACAACAGTACAAATATTTATTATGGATTATTTTCTAAGGTTAACGTGTCAAATAATATTTTTTCTATGATTTTCTGAGATATTATCTGTTTGTTTTCCAAAGGAAATTCTGTAAATCAAAGTAAATTGTTTTTTTTTTAAATGACAGTTAAAACCTTTTTTTTTTTTTTTTAATGAAAACTGTTCTCAGGAATATTATCCTATATTATAATATAATCACTGCTGCAGAAGCCTTAACGCTTGTGAATCTGCATATTTATATATTTACACCTTCAATTAATTGATTTAAAACAAACAAGCTTCGTCAGAATGTGATCCTGTGTGTGTGTTTAGATGGAAAATCTGTCAGTTTTGATTTCAATCTATAAAAATCAGTAAGTTTACCTCAAAGAAAGAAAGATTTATGGTTTATTCATATTATCTGAGTGTAATGCTCAGATTTCACCACCAGGAGGCGAGTGAGGATTAAAGAAAATCAGTTAAAGGCTCCACAATCAGGTCAGTTCATAAACAGAGTTATGAAGGCTGGTATTAATAAGAATGGATAGATACATAGATAATAGATAGATGTATAGATAATAGATAGATGTATAGATTATAGATAGATGTATAGATTATAGATAGATTATAGATGGATGGTATGTTGGTCCCAGTGCTGCATCGACCCGTTCTGCTGGCGGCGGCATCGTGACCTTCCCATGATGCACTGCTCCTCCGGCCTGCAGGCCTCCTCGCTGCCAGCACCACTAAACATCAGAGAGAAACCCGGCGAGTCACATCAGCGAGTTTTTACGTAACACGACCGCGCTGGTGTAGCCTCGCCTTCATCAGCAGCGTCGGACGGTCGAGTGACGGCGTCAGAGGATGTTAGAGGACGAACCAAACCCAGGAGGCCCAGGAGTGGAGAGTAAAGGAGAGATCAGGCTGGTTTCTAATGCGTATACCATAAAACTAAATGTAGCTTAACAAAGAGAACCAGACGGAGCAGCCTGATCGTCTTCCACTGAAGGACGACCTGAAGGCTGAACGGCGTGTTCAGGGTCAAACAACCTCGTTGCTTCTGCAGGTCAGAGGTCACGATCAGAGCTGAACCTGGACCCGATACCGACCAGAGCGACGCCAGAACACGTGACCAGGCGACACTCAGCTCTATTACCGGCAGAGGAGATGAAGCGTGAGGTCATCGTAGAGGTTTGATAGGACGTGAGGTCACTTTGGGATGTTCAGACGGCTGCTTGAGGGTTCAGGTGAAGCAGAGCAGGTGTGATGTCATCGATCAGAATCAGAATAAAGCTTTATCGGCAAAGTGTGTGAACATTTAAACAAAGGCCACGAGTTAGAGAAGGAAACTCTTTTAGTGTGTGCGTGTAGTGTGTGTGTGTGTGTGTGTGTGTGTGTGTGTGTAGTGTGTAGTCGTATTACACAAGTCAGGTTTAGCAAGCAGCGGTTAGAGGAGGGTCAGAGTAAATCTTCAGGAAATAACAGCGAGCGATGTCCGATGAAGTGATGGAAACACGTGTGTGTGTGTGTGTGTGTGTGTGTGTGCGCGCAAAGGGGAAGGAAACAGACACACACACTCGCATGAACTCGATCCTCATCATCAGATTACAGCTCCGTAATCTCTGCAATCATCCATGTGGCGGCATTTACCATCATATCATCATCGCTGTCATCATCCCACTGACGCACACACACACACACACACACACACACACACACACACAATCCCCTCGTCTGTTGGTCATATTGCATCACCATGGATCCACTGTTTACTACTAATCCAGGGTCAAATATTATCTGTTGTTTTCTCTCCTGCAGCACAACAACAACGACTCCGAGCGTTTTATTAGAGTTTCTGCATTCATCTATTTTTTTAAAATTTAAATCCAATTTAAAATTTGGATGTTTGTGTGCAAAGTAATGTGTTTTGAAATGCTGGATTTTACTCAGATTTCTTAGTTTTGAGGCCAAATGTTGGTTTATTTGAGCTAAAAATGTAATATGTTTACAACTTCATTTCAACGATTATATTTTGGAGGATATTTTGAAAAAAATGCAGAAAACATACAGAAAAAGCAGCTTGTGTTGTATTTTACTGGCTCAAATGTGCATTCATGTTACTCAGTATAACACACACACGAGGAAGAAACTTTAAATGGGAGCTACAACGAGCCAGAAAATCCAGCTTCTGTGTTTTGCTAGTGGCACAACACAGCTCAGCGCATAATTAAGGAGGCTTTCTGCTAATATGTTCTGCCCTGGAGCCTCCATGACGCATAATAAGACGTGACATCATGTAAATAAAAAAGAAGGACTCCCAGTGAGATCAAACTGAATTAAAATGAAGTCCCGTTTGGGTTTCCACCCTGAGCTAGAAGGTCAGCCGTGGTTCACTCTGCTGCTGTGGAGGTGCACCGGGTCGGGCAGGTGATCCCGGCCTGCAGGGATTACAGTGCAGCAGCGTCCCACAGGTTATATTTAGCGGACTGCCAGTCATGCTACGTCCTACTGAACTGGCCAGGTTCACTGTCGGAGTCACTGCAGGGATCAGCAGCAGAGAAAATCCAGTGATGTTTCATAACAAAGCGCCGGCAGCCAATCAGAGCCGCCGTCGGGCCTCAGCAGCAGCCTGGTGGAGCAGAGACGGGCCGCAGAACCAGAGAGAGTCCACTGGAATCATCCAGCCTGGACAGAGAGACGTCGTTTATTCACTTTTATTCATTAGTTTTATTGATTCTGTTGCATGGAAAAAGTCCTGAACAGCATCTTTATGAAGTCTGGTCTAAACCAGCTGCATGTTTACCAAAAACTTATCTGCAGTTTTAGTCACTGAGTTTTACATTTTTATTACGCACTTTATCTTTTACCTTTTACGTGACTTTATTATTATCGTTGTTGTTGGAGCTCATTATAGTTATATTAAACTTGTCTGCTCCACTTTCATTCAGTCCATTTTATTTTATTTTTATGTCATGTATACTTATATTTTTAATCATTTTATGATGATTGTTATTGTTACTATGTACATTCTATTGTACATTCAAGCATTTATATTAATTTAACAATATGCTCTGTTGTGCTTACAGTGTGCCCAAACTCTGGTGAGAAATAATCACAANCTTGGTGTGTGTTTGCCTCGACATGAATGCCTCTTTGGTTGAGCTAAACCTCGCTGCCCTCCACGCCCTCCACACACACCGAGCACGTGCACGCTCCAGCTCTAAAACCTGCAGCCGTTGTGTAACGTAGAACTTTGCTCATTTTGAAGTCTCCTCTGCAGCTGCCGCACTCGACCGACTCCGGGGAAGCAAAGGAAGGAGCATGCGGGGCGACTCTCCCGCCAGCTCGGCGAGTCTCGCTCGTCCTACGCGGTGTGATTTCTGCTGAACTCCATCCGTCGCCGGCACATTCACCCACTCCTCACACGTCCACGCTCAGTGTGTCTCTGCACAGAAGATGGGCTGTTGTCTTTTCGCTGCTCATCGTCAATCCGGTGCACTTTATCAGCCAATATGCACCCCTTGCTAGTTCGGAGCCTGACTTAGCACCAGTTCTTTGGGTTTCCGCCACCCAAGCACCGGTTCCAGGTTCTCAAGATTGGTGCTTAGTGAGAACCAGCTCTTTGCGGGGCCAGAGAACCGTCAGGGGCTGGGGGCGGGGCTATCGTGACCACCGAGACCGATCCTGGTGGTCCAGGGCAGTAGAGCAGGTTGTCGTCTAATCGCAAGTTTGGTGGTTCGATCCCCTCCACAGTCGAAGTGTCCTTGGGCAAGAACCCAACAGTCGCTCCCAATGGCAGGCACTGGTGTATTTACTCTCGGAGCTACATCGCTTTGGATATCTGCTGAATGAAACTGTACCGTAAATTCCAGACTATTGAGGCACCTGAGTATAAGCTGCACCCGCTAACTTTAAAAAGAAAACCAGGTGTGTTCATAAACAGGCCACAGACGTCCATGTTGGAACATGAGATATTTACACAGAAAGATGTTTTAACTTTTAATTAAATACAAACCAGTAACATCCACAAATGCTTTTTTCTGAACACGGCTGGTTAAGAAAATAAAAACTCCAGCAGCCTACCAGGAAAAGTCATTGATCACTATCTTCATCTTCCTCCTGAAAACCACTAAAGTCGTCTTCTTCAGCCTCAGAATGACTTCGTCACTTCCTCAGTCTCTCTGTCGTTGTTGCTCTCGGCGTCACTTTCGTCTCGAAGCAAATTCGTAAAACTCTGAAAAATCCATCAATTTTTATCGAATCTCAGCGTGAAGCTTCATCCAGCTTCATCTGC